GAGTCCAATAATATAATTGGCGAGTAATTTTAAATCGGCGAGTACTTCAAAGCTGGTCACGAGGAACTGAAACGAAACCAGACACTTTTCTCTTGTTTCGCCTTTTTTTTTTTTATCAAAAGGAATTTCGCATAGGCTCGCTACTTTCTTTCTTCTTCTTGGTTTACGGGCTAATTTGCATGAAGACAACGTTTTCATTGACCAAAAACACTCACATAGGCTCCCGAATTTCTTTCATTCTTCCTCAGTCCTCCGAATTTGAAGGGTGTGGGCATTCACTATTTAGAGAAACTAAACAGAGCATACGCACATCATCTTCACTTGGATCCTCTAAATTAGGAACTGTTTATGACCCTCAAATATTTATTTAAGATGGGGTTCAACATTTAAAAAAATGCTGTTGTTTCAGAGGTGCATAGGTGGCTCCTGTCTCTTCCAGGTGGTGGCATTTAATGGCTTATATATTCTTGGGACAAGGCCATGTGAAAGTATAGCAAAGTAGTGCCTGTAACGGTGCTAGGATAGTTGCGTACTGGACATTTGCGCCCCGAAAAACTGCGTACCAGACAATTGCGTTCCTGGACATTTGTGTCCCTAGACAAATGCGTCCATAGATAATTGCGTACCTCCAATAAGTTTTTGAAGCTTTTAAGGGAAATAACCATAAATTTGGGGAAAAAAAGCATATGTAGTAATCATAAATTTAAAAAAGGAATAATATAATAAAAAATTATAAGTTTATTTTTGTTTAAAATGCAGTTAACAATATTTCAAGATCGCTCTACACATCGCCAATATGTTTTTGTTTCATCGGCATTTTTATTATGATAGTGATAGCTGTAATTTTCCTCGTCCACAAATATTTTTCCATCAGTGTTTGATTTTAGTTATGAGTTCCAAATAAAAATATAATCTATAAAATCCAGAATCTATTAGATAATTGTGGTACGCACTGCTGGAGTGAACTGAAACTGCTAGCTTAATTTTCACTTGCTTTAAAAAAGAAATTTTTATCTCTTTTTTTATTTATGGTAACTACCTTTCAGCTTGTTTAAAGTAATTAAAGATATTGGTGTGCAAAATTTCTATATTAAACAATACTTTAATTTGTTTTTCTTTATGTTACCTACCTTTTTGCTTGTTTAGGTTGGTTAAGTGGATTGAAGGTTGGTTTGCAATTAGCAACTCTTAAGAAAAGAAAGTATGGTAACTAAAAAATTATAGAGGTATGCAATAAATAATTTGGCTAGGGACGCAAATATCTCGCGCGCAATTGTTCCGGGCGCAAATGTCCAGTACACAATTGTTCCGGGCGCAAATGTCCAGTACACAATTGTGAGGGTCGCAAATGTCCAGTACACAATTGTGAGGGTCGCAAATGTCCAGTACGCAATTTTTCGTCCACCTAGGTGGTTGAACTGTTGCTGACATCCGTTCTGTTAATCAATAGGTATTGGTGTGCAAATTTCTATATTAAACAACTCTTTAAAAACAAAATAGTAACTTCAAAAAATTATCAGAGGTACGCAATTATCCAGGGACCCATTTGTCTAGGGACGCAAATGTTCAGGTACGCAATTATCTGGTACTCAATTGTCTGGTATTCAATTATCCGGGACGCAAATGTGCAGTACGCAACTGTCTGTCCACTGCTGGTGACCTATATACAATACTAGCAGTAGAGCCCGGCATTGCCCGGGGATGTAACAGTAAGAGATAGATCAAGTATCGGCCACCATAAAGACTGAAAAATAAAATTGACAAAGATTATAGTTTTAGGTTGACGGACACGCATGTCTTAATTAATTTTTTTTTTTTTTTTACGAATTGGTCAAACCCAAACTGAAACAAAACATTGTTTTCAATCGTTATGAGTCTACCGATTGAATAGAATTTTATTATAAACAATTGTGTTGTAAAGGGAATTTTTAAAGCGTTCTGAATGTAAAAATAAAGAAAAAAGTGTGCAAGACAATAAGAAACACAACCTGCCAAAAAAAAAGGTGAAATTTTGTTGAAATCGGTTGAAAAATGTAGGCAATCTGATCCGATATATAAACGAACACACACACACACACACAAACAACCTGGGTTTTATAATAAGTATAACTCGATATGAGTTGTCCCCCCTTTCATTCTCGCGATGCCTCTTAATCATGTTTCCAAATTGATTTCGTGCAAAAACAATTGTGTTTTTCCAATTTTTGGCGCTGTCAGAACCACCGCAAGGTAATTTTACGTAGTCCTGTGAAGTTGTGTTGAAATCGGTTGAAAAATGTAGGAAATCCGATCCAATATATAAACGTACACACACACACACACACACACACAACCTGGGTTTTATAATAAGTATGATTTTATTCGTATTGTAATAAACAGGTCCGATTAATATGTGTTTATTACTTTTCGAACATTCCTCGTACTAAGCTTGGCAAAGAGCCATCGTAATATAACACCTATTAATATGATGAGTATTGGATTCACTTAGCGATTTGAGAACGAGACGAAGTCTGCTTCTCGTCAGGCAAAAGTCGACGCCCAAGTAACTCGTATAATATGTGATAGTAGACAAAAGAAAACGCCTGCATCTTTGATTTTTACTTTGTAACAGAAAGTTGGGTTTGAAATGGCCATTCATAGTAGGAATTGCCCGGTTAGAATGCACGCTGTTGGATACATTGTCAAGTCTTGTTATATTTTTAAATCGGTATCACCCCATGCAAGGCAGTTAAGCCACTAAGACACAAGGGGCTTACAGGGTATAGAAGAGTTATGAACAGTAACATTTAGGAGACAAAGAGACAAATTTTATTAAGAGCTTCAAAGGACAGGAAGCTGTGGAGAGCTATAATCGCCTATGTTCTGAAGTGCCACGGTAAATAAAAGAATAAGGCCGAAATTGAGTAAATGGATGGCGGAGCAAGGTTTAGGAGAGATAGGAAAAACAACACTTATTAAGAGCTTCAAAGGACAGGAAACTGTGGAGGGCTATGATCGCTTACGTCCTCAAAGGACACGGAATATAGAAGAAGAAGAAGAACGAGATTGAGTGAATTGATGGCGGGGTAAAGTTTAGGAGAGATAGGAAAAAGTCAACATTTATTAAGACCTTCAAAGGACAGGAAATTGTGGAGAGCTATGATCGCCTACATGTTAAAGGGCCACGGCAAATACAAGAAGAAGAAGAACGAAATTGAGTAAGTGGATGGCGGAGCAACGTTTGGGAGAGATGGGAAAAGACAAATTTTATTAAGAGTTTCAAAGGGCAGGAAATTGTGGAGAGCCATGATCGCCTACATCTTGAAGAGACACGGCAAATAGAAGAAGAAGAAGAAGTGTGAATGGATGGCGGAGCAAGGCTTAGGTGAGTTAGGAAAAAGGACATTTAGTAAAAACCTCAAAGGACTGGAAATTGTGGAGAGCTATGATCGCTTACGTCCTGAAGGGACACGGCACATAGAAGAACATAAATAAGTGTTGATTTAACTGCATTAAAAGATCAGTTGGGTGTCATGTGAAATTAGTAAATTCTAAATTCTTCAGATACTTCGATGTATGGATCAGTTATAAGAAATACAGTCTAGAAGAAAAATAAATTTTGCCAGAGATAGTTCTACCCAACACCGCAAATTGCTACGAAACCAAAAGATTAGCCTGAAAACTAAAGTCATGTTCTTAAATAGCCTCGTCAGATCAAGACTTTTATATGGACGTCATGCATGATGCCAAACTCGTTCAGAAATATCTAAACTGTCAGCTCTATTCAACCGCTTCCTACGATCAATGGTGAAAGTTGAGTAAAGCCTGAGGGTCTTGGCACTGCTTTGGGCATTGTAGACTGGCGCTACAGAATCACAAACAAAGAACTGTATCGAATAACAGAAACCCCATCACTTGAGGACTGCCAACAGTAACAACTAAAATGGATAACACATGTAACTCGAAGAGAAAATAATGATATAATCAAGTTGTTAATATTCCACACTACTTCAAATAGAGGGTTTAGAAGGAAACCCTAATCTATACTGGAAGGATCTATAATAAGTACTGGACTTGAAAAGTCAGTTCTCCTTTAACAAATAATTAAGGGAAAGGCTTACTGGTCAATGAAAGCCAAATGTTTCCTTGTAGGGAAACGGCTAATATTACCATTACTATACTGGGTCCTTCGTAGAATTTCTAAAACAAGGAGAGTTATTTAACTATGTCCATCATCTCCTGCTTTAAATATATCATCAGTGATGAATTCAGTTTTCTTATTTCTGGACTGTTATTTCGTACAGTCTATTCTCATGTCCTAGTTGCTTTTCTCCTCTCACAGGATCAGCATTCCACCACCAACAGCACGTCTTCAAAGAGAGAAAGCAAGAAAACTCATCAGTCTCTCCTACATGAGTCATGATCTCCTGTCAAGAATTTTTCTTTTTTATCTTGTGATGAATCTGTCTACCACCAGCCACGCATTCAATAGCCCTCAACTCGTTCTACTTTCAAAGCCCTTTCTTTTCTTTCTCCCTGCTTGCCGTCTCTTTTTGGCATTCAATACCATTGAGCTCAGGTTTCAACTTCACCCTCCTTTCCTTTCTCCTCGCTGCTTCTGGTTTTTACCCTGCCTCTGTTTCGTAGTGTTTCATAGCATCAGATGCTCTGAATTTTTGGGAAAGCGCACTAAATAGAACAGCTTCTATCTTCAGAAGACGTATTGAAGAAACCTGAATGATGTCACTTTACTACAAACTCGAGTAAGATTAACAACGAAAAAAAGAAAAAAGATTCTTTCTTCAGAAAACAGAACTGCAGGAAATCGAGAAACTACTTCAATGAAATCCACCCCTCCACCCCATTCCTCTTTATTTAAAGCCAAAAAGATGCGTTCTGCATTTTTTTTTCTATTCCATCTCAACGACTTATTCAAAACAACAAACCCAACGAAGTATTCATTTTCTTCAATTCATTTTAGTCATCCAGCCAGAGATGGTTTTTTTTTAAGATTACCTTTTATGGTAAAAGGCTTTTCGTTCAGTGTAGTATTTTCATTAATTTCATCGCTTCTTTTCTGTTTTTCTTTCTTTTCGTTTTCTTTCTTTTCTCTCTTTTTTCATCGCTTATTCCCTCTTATTCTCTTTTTATTTCAGATATTTCTTCTCTTCTTCCTTTTTTCTCTCTTTCTTTCCATAATTCTTCTGTTTGTTCTTCGTTTTTTTTTCATTCTATCTTTTTTTCATCTTTTGTTCTGTTCCTTCTTCCACTCTTTTAGTTTCAAACTATTTCCTCTTTTTATTCCTTCTTTCTTTTTTCTTTTCTCAATGTTCTTTTTTTTACTTTTTTCCTTCTTCTTCCCTATTTCTTCCCCTCTTTCTTTAATTCTTTCTTTCTTTCCTTCTTTCTTTCTTTCTTTATTTCTTTCTTTCTTTTTTCTTCATCGCTTATTCACTCTTCCTCTCTTTTCCTTTCAAATATTTCATTGCTTATTTTTTTCTTTTTATTCTTCCTCTTTTGAAATTTTCCTTAGCTTTCCTTTTTTTCTGCCTTTCTTTCTTTCTTTCTTTCTTTCTTCATCGCTTACTCCTTCTTTTTGTTTTCGTTTTAAATTATTTCACTCCTATTTTTTTCCTTTTCATTCTTCCTCTTTTGAATTTTTCTCTTCGTTTTTCTTCTTTCTTTCTTTCTTTCTTTCTTTATCGCTTATTCCCTCTTCTTCTTTTTTTGTACTGTCACTCTTTTCCTTCTTCTTTTTACCTCTTTCTTTCTTTGCTTATAGGGTCATATCACACTAAACACCGGTTGAAACACTGGTTCTCAGTTAAGCAACCTTTAACCTGGTTAGTTGTGAAATGGGTGACCGCTGACAAATATCAGGCGCTGTAAGGTTAGATGTGCGGGTGGTGCAATAGCTAAAAACCTCGGAATGTGTAATCGGATAACCTAGTTCGAATTACAGTCGGGAAAGCTATGAATCTACCTATTCTTTTCTCAGCTAGTAAGACTTGCATCCGAGAATCATTATCTAAAAAAATGCTTAAATTCCAAAAAATGTTTCGGCTTTAAATAACCTCATAAAGGTTGATAAGCCGTAAAAATTTTTAAAAAATCTTTCTTTCTTTATCCTGCCTTCTTTCCTTTTCTTGTTACGATACCCCTTTTTTTTCGTCACTCCGTTTTTTCTTTTCTTCCGTTCTTTTCTATTTATTCCATTGACTATGGAATGCATCAACTAGCAAATATTCTTCTTTTAGTGGTGGCACCCAAATGAATGTTGAAGGATTCTTTTGCCGAAAAAGTGACAAGAGAAACAAAAACACGAATAGCTCATGGAATAATCATAATAGCTTATGTCATAATTCCCAGCAGTTTGGAAGGCCAAAGAATGCATCTGCCGAAACGTAGTAATAAAAACTATAGAGATACGTGTGTTATTGCAAAACTACTTGTGCAATAACGACAATGATACATCGTAACATTTCAGACAGTATGCCTTTCGTTTTCCACCGTTGAAACATGCCATCTGACATATTAAAAGGCGAAAATTTAATTTGGCAAGAAACCGTAGTCGATCAATTGATTTTATTATGGTATATATTTCCAGCAAAACAAAATTCTTCCAATGGAAACACGTTTGATCTCCAGTAAAGCAATGACATCAGCTAAAAACAGAAATCTATTAACTCCAATCGAAAAATGATTGCTTATTTGAAAAGCATACCTGATACGAAGCACTATTTTGAAATGTTTGAAATTATAATAAACCTCTCAGGAGGAGGTGGTCTTTTTTTTATATCGCTTTTTTTTTAAACTCTTCCTATTGGCTGTTGCCAAGGCAACGCACCAGATCATTACTCTCATGCGATGGATTCACAGATGAAATTGTTAAAATATCTGATTGTCTTTGAGGAACAGAAATGGCATTTATTGATTTAAACTGCAGTTTATGGTAACACAAATCGACTCAATGTTTAGCATTTCACGTGAACTAGCAAAAAAAAAAAAGCTTTCTGTTTTGTACTCTACCACTGAACCAGTGACGTGCAGAGGTTTCGTGATATATGGTCATGCCCGGATCCAACTCATTGTATGCCCCTAAGACTAAAACAGGGGGAACTATAGGGCCTAGTACCGAGAAATGTAAGTAAGGAAGACATTTTAAATATGTAAAAACAGATGAAACGTGAAATAAACACTTTATTCAAATTGAATATAAACTAAATTTTTATTTCACTCTCTGATTGGATACCCTCCCAATATGGATACCCAGGACCATCTCACCCTCTGCCCCACCTTCTGCACACTCTTGCACTGAACCATATAATTTTATTTTTTGGAGTGGGAGTTACAGTAAGGTACAAGGCCAGGGGGTGCTCGAGAAGAGGGTTACGTTAATCGATAAGTTTATACGGATAAGGGGGGGGGAGAGATAACTGTTAACTCTAGAATAGACATTGTTTTTCATTACCTCTGTTCTATAATAACTGTTGCCCTTACATACACATTTCATACAGAAATTAGAACAACTGTTATGGGATGCCATACATTTTACCTACAGCGAATGTAAATCAGTTTGCCTCCCGAGATTTCTGAAAGATTATGTAGCGCCAAGATCTGAAGTGCGCTGTGCTTACTATGATTTGTAAGGGTGCTCTACAATCGGCATTTTTAAGAAAGACCTTCAGTGGATTATTTTTAAAGAAAGCATCACCTGCCTCTCCTGATAGAGTTCAAAAGCATCTACGCGGCCTTGTGGGTGTTGAATTATTTTCCAGCATCCAACCCCTTTCCCACAGACAAAATGTTGCGAGCCTCTTGCTGCTTTATTGCTATTTCCATGATATCTGTTCAGATGAGTTCCATTCCTTGTTTCCATCACCCTAGACATTTGCAACTGGGGCCCTCCATGCTCCGTACACGAGAGTGAATCATCCCCCATTCCCTTCGTATTCCATGAATAAGGAGGAAGTTCCATTCGGAAAGCCTCTTCTCCAGAACTGATGCCTTGCGGAAACAGACTCCCGGCAGGATGATTTTCCCGATCATTACAATCTTGACCTCTTCAAGTCGAGGATTAATGTTAATCTTTCCTGCATAGTTCCATAACCCTCACATCTTGTCTTTTATTACGCTTAGACGGCACCATACAGTAATCCCCCACCTTGAGTGGCTCTTGAGCCTTGTATTTGTTAAACTTTAATATAAAAAGAAATCTGTAATAGTTGTATTTTGTTCCTTAAGAAAGCCCTACAGTCGGTATTTTTATGAATGGGCATTGGATTTTTAAAAATAAAATCCTACAATGCATTTTTCTTAAAGGTGGCCCACAGGTGGATTTTTAAAAGGCTGTCTTGCGGTGTATTTTTTTTTTAAAGAAAACCCTAGAATTAATTTTTAAGAAAGCCCTACAATTGATTTTTTTTAAAGAAAGCCCAGTATTGGGTTTTTAAAAGTTAGCTCAACAGTGGATTTTTTTATGGAAGCACTTCACCGTTTTTTTCTTTTTTGTTTTTTTAAAGAAACCTTGTCGTGAATTTTTTTTAGAGGTAGCCATGAGTGGATTCTCTGTTTATTTTTAATAATGTAAATCAGTTTATATCCCAAAATTTCTATAAAATTGTGTAGCACCAACATCTGAAGTGAGTCGTGCTAACCATGTTTTGAAAATCGATATTGAAAAAAAAATTTTCTATCTAAACTCGAACACTGGAGCCATTAGAAAATACGTAACTAACCCACTTTAATTTTGTAGCAAAAAGAAGAGAGAGAAACAAAAAAAAGTGACTAGAGGGTTCGCCGTCAAACCAACTGTTCTTCTTCGCCGTCGGTCGCCTCAAAAAAAATGAATTGCGAGACTCCTTTTCTCGGCCGTTACACCGGGCAGTCGTGAAACGGACACCCAAATCAAACGCGCCTACTTCAACCGCCTCTTGGTCTGCCAGTCTATTCGCATGTCCGACTCTGTTTCACTAATTCCACCGAAAATGACTCGCCTTCTGCTGTGCCACTGGCGCCTCGCCTTTTTATACTAGTCCGACACTGCTCGAATTTTCATCTGAGCTAGTACAATCTCGTTTTGGACGAGACCGGCGCGCACGAATCGCGTCCCCGACAGCAGCCATGTTTCTTTTTGGATTTGTCATGCAAGCAAGACACGTTCGCACACGTTTCGAGCTCCGTGGTAAATCATCACAAATTTTGTTACAAAATCATATGTAATGAAGTGAGGGATGTCTATTAAATGATAACACGTGTACGGAAAACTTAAGATATATTTTATTTCACTCTAATATTTTGGCAATTACTCTCGTCCAGTGTGTGTGTGTGTATGTGTGTGTGTGTGTGTGTGCCAAGCGGTCCCTGATACGTGGCCCTTACATTCTCGTCTGAGGTGTATGAGAGACTACACAACATCCTACGAAGCGGTTATTTATATATCCATCTAGCCATCGGTTTTTCTGACACACGCACATTCCAGGGGTGTCACGCCTACAGGTATTGGCCTCTCGGGGTCAGGAATGACAACGAATAAATAACGAATCTTCACCCCCGGCTGGAATCATCTCATGTTAATCTTCTAATTGGCTATCTTGAGAGACTGGGGTGAAATGGAAAAAGACGCATTACAATTTGAGGGAGAAAAAAAAACCTTGTCTAGCCAGGTAAAGATAAGGTTTTCATCAATTTTTATAAAATTTGTGTTGTGAGGTGACGTGAAAATTTGTGTTGCGCCAATCTTGTGAGAAATATCTGTCTAGCTTGATCGATAGAAGTTTTTTGATGTGATGATGATGATGCTTATGATGATCAAATCCAGGTTCTGTTAATAATGATTACCTAATAATCACCCACATCATGAAGGGACACGGAACGTAGATGATGACGATGATGATGATAATGATGATGATCCAATCCGGGTTCTGTTAATAATGAATAGCTAATGATCACCCACACCCTGAAGGGACACGGAACGTGTATGATGACGATGACGATGATGATTATGATGATGATGATGATGATCCGATCCGAGCTCTGTTAATAATGTGTAGCTAATCATCACCCTCATCCTGAAGAGACACGGAACGTACATGATGATGATGATTATGATGATGATCCAATCTTGGTTCTGTTAATAATTAGTGACTAATGATCACCCTCATCCTGAAGGGACGCAGAACGTATATGATGATGATGATGATGATGATGATGATGATGATGATGATCCAATCCCGGTTTTCTTAATAATGAGTAGCTAATGATCACCCACACCCTGAAGGGACACGGAACGCAGATGATGCTGATGATGCTGATCCAATCCTGGTTCCGTAAATAATGAGTAGCTAAAAATCACCCATATCCTGATGGGCCACGGAACGAAGATGATAGTGATGATGATGATTCTCCAATCTGGGTTCTTTTAATAATGAGTAGATAATGGTGACCCACATCCTGAAGTGACACGGAACGCAGATGGCGATGACGATGATGATCTAATCCTGGTTCTGTTAATAATGAATAATTAATAACACCCACATCCTGAAGGGATTTGGAACGTAGATGATAATGATGATGATGATGATGATGATGGCCTTTTCCTTTTTCTGTCAAATCACCGATCATCATTGATGAGGAATTATAATTTTCACTCTTTACCGTCGGACAATTATCCTCATCTTTTTTATTTTTATTATCGTCAACCTTCGGATGTTGTGTCTTCAGTTGATTGTTAATCCCCACAACCTTTAGTGAATTTCACGTTATTTAATCTCCAGGAGTAGATTGTTTTCATTCTGCT